TGTTGCGCGAATAGTGCGAGGGTGACGATAGACACGCTCATCCGACAGGATGTGAGGCCATAGTTAAAGAGCCCATGACTATACACTACACTTTGGGGAAACCATAGAATTTTGCTTATGGGTCGAATATCATGTGAAAAAAAATTCTAGACAATGTTTGGAGAAGCATGAGAATCATGTCTAAGAGTTCAAGTGACGAGCGACTCATCCGAAATCGAGTTGTGTCAAGACTACAGATATTGAAAGGATGACTGGTCGACCTCGACGAGATGGTCTGAGATTTACTCTGTCAGTCGTTAGCGTTGCTACGCTTCTTTAATTTTCCTTTTTAACCCACCCACTGTTGCCCGTACGCAGGTATCATTAAACTACTCGGTTAGATCTCTCTTCCTTCCATATCTCTTTCGTTGCTATTCTTGAGATCTGTAGGTTGAACATCGTAGCTCAATGATTCGGTTTTGCAGCCAAGGGTGGATGAGTCGAGTTCTCGACTCAAGGGCGGGGAGTCTAAATGGTGGGTCGGAGAGTCGCGACTAACTTGAATGCCACCGGTAAGGTTCGTTCAACCATATCTGTAAGTTCGGGTGAGCAACCGCGGCGCCATCATAGACCCCAACGACTCTCAGTCGCCCAACTAGGTGTGTCTATTTCCTGATCTAAATTTGGTACACATTTTTCCAAACAGCCAGCAAACTGTTGACCTTTTAGGCAAATTGGAAACTACTAAAGTCACATGATGACCATAGTGATTCATTCTGAATAGCTCGTACTAGTTGGACGGTGCTCGTGTGCTAAATAACACCAACAGGGAGTCCCTGTCAGGGACATCTTGAAATTTTAATTCGCTTTTACTTTGGCGCACGCCCAACCCACGACGATAAAATCGAACTCAAGATTACTGATAGTTGAGTAGTGAACATCAGTTGGCTACTCTGACTCATCTCCCTCCTACCTTAGACTAACAACATCATCTGGTAAGGAGATCGACCGATTCCGGCGCTCGGAATTCGAATCGAATGTCCGCAAGCTAGAGTGCAAGATCCTATTGCTGAGCTGGTGAGTCCTTTGAAGGTCTCTCCATTAAGAGCGGGCTAGCCCAGCCAAAGTCTACGGCTTGCATTTGAGCGTTTCCTCCATCACTGAGTACGTACCAATGGTACGGTACCATATACTGCGTGAAAAGATACATCGAGTTGGCTGGTTATGACAACGACATAGACATTTTGATGTTCCACAGTGGTGTATTAAGATGCTCCGATCAAACGTCTGCTAAAGTCTAGCACTTTCCTAACCGGCAGAGTTGTTGAGCTTTGGAAATATTAATGGTTGACATAGTGTCAATTTAATAGACAGCTAAGCGAAGCCCGACAATGCAATTGCAACCCGTACACGCCTACTATGATAACGCAGCACGAACATACTCCAGAGAACGTTAGCAGGGGAAATATCGTCAACATTCGTACGACGGAGAGTAACCCGTCAGAGAAGATGTACACTTCAGTAGCCGTATCATCGGAGATGAGGTAAATAATGGTTCAATGGTATCATAGGAAGTCAATTGGGCAATAATATCGATGCTACGACGAAGCGGGGAAGTCCACTCCCAGTCAAAGGAATGCACCCGCCCTACGTCGATCAGGCATTTCACTGTACAAATTGGACGACTAGTCAAAGGCCACCGTTCAACGCTTCCGACCAGGCTTGACGACGATGGTGATGCCGGGCTCGAATCCAGGGATATTGAGGGGAGCCTGGGAACCGTCAACGTGCTTCCCTCGAACTGAAATCAATACATCATGAAGTAACAACATAAGACCACCTTACCGCCATCCTTATCGAACTCACAGTACCAACTGGAGATGTCTCGGTAACTGCAAGGACGACAAGAATACATATACCAATGAGCATTGACGTCAACCTACAGGCCTCGTTTAAGGACATCAATGATCTGCGTCTGGAGGGGCTGGCCTGTCCATATCTTGAAGTCATTCTTACGTATAGCAGGCAGGTTGGGATCCTCTCTATGAATAACTAACCTGAAAAAAGGAGGATACTTTTTACGATACCCCCTATGATAACTCCTTACCGTGCTTCGACGAGTTCCGGCAGATCATTGAGATACCACCGCTTCGTCGAGTGTTGTGTTCGCCTATAACCACCGTCACCATTCGACTCCCCCAAATCACACTACCGCGCTTTCGACTTCTGAGTCGTCCGAGCAGCCGCGCCGCTACGTTTAGTAATCCTCTCTTCCTTCACCGTGCTCGTTGGTGCTGTATGAAAAGCATATGTCCAATCATATCACAGAACTAGTACTACTCCTAGTCCGTTTGGTCTTCTCAGATGTCGCTTGTTCTGTCCGATGAGCGCCATCAACCTCAAGTACCAACTTGTCGCCACTGTCCAATACGAAGGTAGCCGTATCCACATCTGCACGCAGGACCGACGACTCCAGCGTGTAATGGAAACTCGGAGGCTTACCACTCCTTTTTCGCCGATTCTTCCTTACTACCGATATGAGTATCCGAGACTGGCCATCCCCGAGGTCTGACCCTGAGCCGGGTGATGACTGCTGTTCATCATCAGGAAATGCCCGAGAAGAGGTGCTAGCAGAGGAAGGGGAGGCTGATAGCAGTGGGGAGGAGGACGATGACGTCATTGACATTTGCCGCGAACAAAACCAACTATGAACAGCAACTCCAGGAGACAACTTCCAGGCAACACAGGGCATAATCAGAAGTTCCACGTCTTCAATGGCAACACCGACACATACTTTACTATGCTGATGTGTGCCATCAGTGTGGGAATATATGCACATGGTCAACCACATACGTTGGTGACAATATGAGAATTCTGAGGAAATTTT